GATGATGATGGTGATTATGATGATGGTGATGGTGATGATGATGATGAATGCTGATGATGATGCTGATGATGATGGTGCTGATGATGATGATGATGATGATGGTGATGGTGATGGTGATGATGATGATGATGATGGTGATGATGATGATGATGGTGATGATGGTGATGATGGTGCTGATGGTGCTGATGATGATGATGCTGATGATGCTGATTTGGATGATGATGATGATGATGATGATGATGATGATTATGATGATGGTGATGATGATGGTGATTATGATGATGGTGATGATGATGATGATGATGATGGTGCTGATGATGATGCTGATGATGATGATGATGGTGATTATGATGATGGTGATGATGATGATGATGATGATGGTGCTGATGATGATGCTGATGATGATGGTGCTGATGATGATGATGATGATGATGATGGTGATGGTGATGGTGATGATGATGATGATGACGATGATGGTGACGATGATGATGATGACGACGATGATGACGATGATGACGATGATGATGACGATTATGCGACGATATGGTGACGATGCTGATGACGACGATGATAACGATGACGATGACGATGACGATGACGATGACGATGATGATGATGATGATGATGATGATGATGACGATGATGGCTCTGGACCTCTGCTTAGTGCGACTATTTGCAACCATGCGTCCCATGGGGGAGACTTCGACTGCTCGAAACACCAGCCAAAAACAGCCAAGATCTGCTCCATAAGGGGGGGGAGGGGGGGGGGCGAGGGCACGCGCCGATCGGCACAACAATGGATAAGAAAACGATCACGTTCTCGGACCTTCTGCTTCTTCTTCTGTTTCTGCTTCCGCTTCTTCTCCTCCTTCATGGCCTGGGCCTCGACCTTTCGGCGGCAACTCATGGAGCCTCCTATGCCATCTTGCTGGCTCTTGCGAATCGGCCCTGATCGACGCTACGCTGGTCGACGATCACCGACGCTGAGCCGACGCCAAATCGGCGCTTTCTCGTCGATCAACAGACGCTGGCGCACGCCAGTGCACTTCCAGAAGCGGAATCCCACACCCCCGACGTCGTGACTTTTTCACAGCGCCGACCCCCAAAAGTCTGGACCCCTCTCCCCGGGACCAGCTCTCCATCCCGAGTCGTTTCCGCTGACAGCGCTCCCGAGGCCCGAGGCGGGGCGGCCCCCGGACGCCGAAAAAACGGCCGGACAGCTCCCGCCGTGCTTTCTGTCTCACGGCGCCGAGGGGGGGGTCTGGGACTGCGAGCACACGCGAGGCGCCCATGCTCTGCCGCCAGACGACCTCCTCGATGAGGGCCTGCGCCGCGGCGGCAGCCGCCTCGCTCTCGGCGGCCTTCGTGGGCGGCTCGCGCTCGCGGTGGGCCGTCGCGGCCTGGTACTCGCGGGCCATCTTCGGGAGCCGGGGCTCGTGGAGCAGGAAGTCCATGGAGGCCTCCGTCCACCGAAGCACGCAGGTCGTGGCAGTGAGAGGAGCTTGCTGTGTGCAGGAGCCTGTCCCACGTGGAGCGAACAAGCTCCTGCGTTTGATGATGCTGCTCTCTCTCTCTCTCTCTGTTTCTCTGGCTTTCACTGGCTGGGACAATCTAGCAAATCCAGCTCTGGTTGTACTAGAGAATGGTTTCTCACAAATGGTTCATAAAATACGCAATCGCTCACTACCACTACCCATGTTGGTCGATGATCCTGGGGGCTCCGAAACCCACACCCTTCGGGTCAAGAACAACTCACGACGAACGGTTTGTGCCAGTTCTCGACCACGGGGCACCCTCACTGGGCCCCTGGGCCGTCAAACGCAGCTCGTGAGGATCGGTCCTGGGGAGTGGGCGATGAACAACTTCTGACGTGCGGGGTCTGGAAGCCGTGCGGCGACAGACCGCGCGGTGACCTCGAAACCCCGCGGGACCTCCCCGCGCGGTCCGTCACCGCGCGGTCCGTCGCCGCACGGTGTTGGGACCCTGGAGGCCCCAGCCGCCCGAGACGTCGCCCTCGGACAGCGGCCCAAGGCCCGAACCCGTGCGGTGAACCTCGGCTCTGCGCGCGTGGCGCCACGGAGGCGCGGCGGAGGGGGCGCCGGAGCGCCCGCACGGAGCAAAGCGGCAACAGAAGTGGCGCACGTGCACTCCCTGCACGGGGGCCGTGCGGTGACCCCGAGCCCCAACGGGCTCCCGCAACGAGCATCGCGCAGCCATCAGCTCTGCCACATGATCCCATTTGGGCCACACGCGTGCGCCCCCCCCCACACGCGCGCGCGTCGACATCGTGGCCGAGCCGGAAGCCCAGTGCCTTGGCAGAACCACCACCCGAGTGGTCCTCCAATCCAAGGAGCTCGCCACCGCGCCTCCAGGCACGGCGTGGGCGTGGCCTCGGGTCCTCTGCCTGATCCCTGGAGCCTCAGTCGCAGGTCGGGCATGTCCCCCCGCAGGGGGGCTGCTGGACGAAAAACCAAACATACTCCACAAATCTTCAAACACTGTGAACAAATCATCGAAACTCGTCCCCTGACTATTTTGTTCGCCTATCTTTGATTACTCCCCTGCAGAGGAGGGACACGCCCGACCGAGCCTGTCCTTAGTCCTGAGCACGGGCCCGGACCCAAAACCACCCGAAACTTGGCGGGGCCCCCGGCGTGCCCCCCTGGGGCTTCCCGCGTCCCCCTCCCCCCCCCCCTGAGCTCTGGGAAGCGGTGGCGCGTGCAGTCTTCGGGCCCCAAGGGGGGCCCCAAGACGGGCCACGCGGGCCCCGCGAGGCCCCCAGACGGCCCAAGAGGGCCCCGAGGCGCCCAAAGATCGGCCCAAGGCGCCCCAGATGGCCTCAAGATTGCAGAAGAGGCTTTTAAGACGCCCCGAGAAGCCTACAAGAGGCCTCCCAAGAGGGCCTCAAGAGGCAATCATCACTGATTGTCCTTAGGTCTTTAAAGGATCTTGGCGTTCTCGCCGAGACGCTCCAAGACGGCCCAAGAGCCCTCCAAGACCACCCCCAAACGCCCAAGAGGCCTCCAAGAGGGCCACAAGACGGCCTAAGAGCGCCCCAAGACGGCCCAAAAGGCGCCCAAGACGGCCCAGGAGGGCCCCAAGACGGCCCCCAAGGCGGCCAGGAGGGGGAACACGAACTCAAAATCCCAACCTTCCGCCACAAGAGGCCACCAGGAGGCCCCAAGAGGTGCCAAGGAGGCCCCAAGGGGCTCCCGAGAGGCCCCCAAGGGGCCCAAAAAGAGGCCCCCGAGAGGCCCAAAAAGAGGCCCCAAGGCCCCCGAGAGGACCCCCACGAGATCCCCACGAACACCCATTAGGCTTCACACCCGCAGCCCAGGCACGGTGGCGGGACGGGCCGAAGGCCATTGGACTGTGTCATACCTTCCCGCGTTCGCACCACCCCCACGCCCCCCCGGGACAGGGCGAGGGACTCGCGCCTCGCTCTGCAATCGCCCAGGCCGCGAAGCGCGAAGCGCGACGAACTTCGCACCCTCGTGGCGGCCCTAGACTTCGGTCGGGCCTGTCCTCGTAGAGGCGGATGTTGGAACGGCAAATGCAACTTATCAACACATAAACGAAACGTGCTAAACAAATGATCGAACAACCGTCCCCGGAGACTATTTTTGACTCTGTTTGAATACTCCTCCTGCAGGGGGACATGCCCGGCTTAAGACTGACTTCGCACACACTCGTGGCGGCCCTAGGCTAAGGTCGGGCCTGTCCCCCTACAGGCCGATGTTGGACGAGTTGTTTTGTTGATGCTTTTTTGTTTGGGAAAAAATGAATCACATAGAAAGCAATCGCAACATACTCCCTACTGATCGAACATAATCGAAAATCCGTCCCCTGGCTCTTCTTTCTATTTTCGAACATTCCTCCTGTAGAGGGACAAGCCCGACTCAACCCTAGGCCTCGCGGCCTGGCCACCACACCGCCTAGGGGGGCCCGCCCGACGCCTCGCGCAGGTACACGAGCAGGCACGCCCGGGACCCCTTGGGCCGCGTCAGCACGCCGGAGGGGCCGTAGAGGTAGTTCACGCACAGCCACTCCTCGCGGCGGCGCGCGAGGGGGGAGGAGGAGGAGGAGGAGGAGGAGGAGGAGGAGGAGGAGGAGGAGGAGGAGGAGGAGGAGGAGGAGGAGGAGGAGGAGGAGGAGGAGGAGGAGGAGGAGGAGGAGGAGGAGGAGGAGGAGGAGGAGGAGGAGGAGGAGAGGAAGGAGGAGGAGGACCATTTGGACCATTTGACCAAGCACACGGTCGTGCGGGGGGGGGGAAGAAAGGGAGAGGAAGGCAGAACCCCGAACAGAGGTGCTTTGGTGCAGGCGGAACCCCGCCTCACCGCCACACCTCCGCAACCGCTACTGGCCAGCTAGCCCTCCGCAGGAGGGCCAACTACCCAGCAGCGGCGGACGGTCCTCCGTCCCCTCCGAGGGGCACACGGAGGAGGAGGAGGAGGAGGAGGAGGAGGAGGAGGAGGAGGAGGAGGAGGAGGAGGAGGAGGAGGAGGAGGGGGGGGGGGAAGTGGGAAGGAGTTCCGGGTTCGAGGCTGAAGGTTTTCGGGCGTGGTCGTCGGTCCTCGGCGGTTTTCCAGCCTCGGGATGCGCTCCAGCAGCTGCGCCTTGCCGAGAGCGTTCCGGGGGTGCCCGGATCGCCCCGAACGGCCCGCGGGGACCCGAGTGATGACCCGCAAGCCAGGCGACCACGCTCATCAATGGAGAAGGGCCTCCTCAGAAGGCGGCGGGGCTTCCGGGACGCCCTCGCGCATGCTGAGAGGTCTGCCGTGTCTTCGGGGGAGGCTCCGAGAACGGCTCAGCAGGCCGGGGGGCTCCCGAGCCTGCGGGGCAGGCCCGGCCCGGGGGCTCGCCGCCCGTCCTCGCCGCCGAAGGAGGCGTCGATGGCCGTCGCGTTCGACATCGCGCAGGTGACGTTGTCGCGGTCGTCGAAGCGGTACCACTGGCCCTGGTCGCCCTCCATCTCCGGGCGGATGTACGACCAGTAGTGCTCGTCGGACTCCACCATGACCCCGTAGAGGTTGTACACGCCCGCCCCCTCGCAGTACTTCGCCATGTCGATCTGCCGGGGGAAGCCCAGGTACGTGTCCGACAGGCCGCACAGGCCCGTGCAGCAGTCGTAGTCCCCGCGCTTCAGGTGCCACTGCAGCACGTGCGGCAGCCGCCGGATCTTCCGCATGGTCCGCACGCGGACGCCGGACCCGTCCTCGATGATCTTCGGGGTGAAGTAGTGGTCGAGGGTCGCCTCCAGGCTCGAGAAGCCGCGCACCACGAGCGTGAAGACCGGCCCCTGGAAGGCCGAGCTGTCCCCGAACTCCCCCCCCTCGACGGCCTGCGCCGCCCACTCGACCTCGAACTCGAAGAGGTCCCGCACCGACTCCCAGAGGGCCCGGCTGTCCTCGGAGGCAAACTACTCGCCATCGCTCGGACTTCCATTCCCTGTGTTTTTGTTGTCGGTTTCGTGCGTGGTTTTTTCGCCGAATGATCAAGGATTCTCCTCGATGGCTCTCGCCGAAGGAAAAATGCACACGTCCGAGCGATGCCAAGACTGTACAAGCGCCATCGGCAGAAACTCTCGGAACTCCGCGCGGACCTCTTGGCGCTCCGCGCGGAGCTCCGAGAGTTTGCGTTGGATGCAGAGCTCCTTCCCTGTAGCAGAAAAAGACGCCATAAACATACACTTCTGGCGCTCCGCGCAGAACTCTCGGATCCGCGCTACAGCCCCCTCCGTGGCGCGCGGAGCGCGCGAAGGGCCGGCGCCAGAGGCGCCGCCCAGGGGGACCCAGGCGCGGATCCAAGAAGTCTGCGCGGAGCGCCAAAAACTTGTGCTTCTGGCGTTTCTTCTTCTTCTTCTTCTTCTTCTTCGAGTTTGCGTTCAATGCAGTTTCTTTTTCTTCCTCGATGTCCTGCGACGCGCTGTCGGCCCTGGCGACGCTCTTGGCCTTCGGCATGTCCTTCTTCGCGTCCTTCTTGCCCGCGGGGCCCTTCGCCTCGTCGCCCCTGCCGTCCGCGGGGCCGACGAGCTCGGCCTCCACGGCGCGGAAGACCTGTGGTGCCTCCTCCCTCCTCCCTCCTCCCTCCTCCCTCCTCCTCTCCCCTCCTCCTCCTCCTCCTCCTCCTCCCCTCCTCCTCCTCCTCCTCCTCCTCCTCCTCCTCCTCCCTCCCTCCTCCCTCCTCCCTCCTCCCTCCTCCCTCCTCCCTTCCTCCCTCCTCCGTCCTCCGTCCTCCGTCCTCCCTCCTCCGTCCTCCGTCCCCCCTCCTCCGTCCTCCCTCTCCCTCCTCCGTCCTCCGTCCTCCTCCCCTCTCCCTCCTCCCCTCCCTCCCTCCTCGTCGTCGTCGTTCGTCGTCGTCGTCGTCGTCCTCGTCCTCATCCTCGTCCTCGTCCTCGTCCCCCTCTCTCCTCTCCTCCTCCTCCTCTCCTCCTCATCCTCCTCCTCCTCCTCCTCTCCTCCCTCCTCCTCTCCCTTGCCCTCCACCAACCTCCCTCCCTCCACCTCCCTCCTCCCTCCTCCCTCCTCCCTCCTCCCTCCTCCCTCCCCCCTCCACAATTACACAATATGAATACTACTCTCCCTCTTCCCCTGATGACGGTTTGAAAATGGCCGACCCCCCCGCGTACTGTTTTTTACACACAAGTTTCCCCGAAATTGGGTTTTCGCCTGCATTTTTTTCAAAATGCTGCTCTCGCTAAGGCGCCGGCCTCATTTTCGGGCCCCGCTCGTTCCGAATCGTACTCCCGCTGCAGCGCTGGCCTCATTTCCGTGATTCCGCTCGTTCGGAATCGTGCTCCCGCTGCAGCGCTGGCCTCATTTCCGCGCTTCCGCTCGTTTCGACTCGTGCTCCCGCTGCAGCGCTGGCGTCATTTCCCGTGCCATGTCACGGCATGCAATGCAATGCTAAGTTGATACTACGCTTTGCGGTGCTCTTCTACGCCATGCCACGCCGTGCTCTACAATGCATCACGTACCCTTTCGGGATCATTGCCCTGCTCGACATCCGACTGAGCGAGTAGAGAGGGGATCTGCGCCATGGTAAGGGATGGGAGAGAGGGGCAGGATGTCAGATATGACGCGAGCGCACCTAGCTTGTCCCTCCCCCCTCCCCCCTCCTCCCTCCTACGTCCTCCCTCCTCCCTCCAGGAATCGGCGATGCCTCGCCGATGCACCGGCGATAGGCCCACGGGCAGCGACTCCGCACGGCCTTGGGCAGGGGGGGCCGATGGGCGATTGGGGGGTCGATGCGCCCCCCCCATTGAGCCGCTACGCCTCCAACTTGGAGGGCTCCCCCGGGGCCGTAGGCGACCCGAGGAGGAGGAGGAGGAGGAGGAGGAGGAGGAGAAGGAGGAGGAGGAGGAGGAGGGATCCGTATCCATTTTCGCTCAAGGCTGAAAGCTGTGAAGGGCTATGGACGCCCGAGAATCAGCGATCAGCTTTGGACCCCTCCGTAGCATGCCTGGCTCTCAGAAGGCTTGTGGCTCTGCCCGCGGCACGATCGCCCCCACTCGCGCGCTTCCTTCGGACACAGCTCTCCCTGCGCAGCCATGTCCTCCGTGTGCCCGTCTCAAGAAGCACAAGCCGCACCACTCCCGGCAGCCTCTCCTGAAGGTTCAGCCCAGTGGTGATCGTGCTGCTGGCGCTGCCGGCGCAAACCGGGGTCGACGTGGTGGCAAAGGTGGTCCCAGAGGCGCAGGCGCGCCCTCGTCCATTGCCAAGGCGCTTGACAAGCAGCAGGTGCAGGCCTTCGCGGCCATGCCTGACGAGCACTACGCCACGGCCTGCACCCCGCTCATCTGCGCAACGGGCACAACTGGCGCACGAACGTGCGCAGCAGCCGGGTGATTCACACGCCGCGTCGCGAGCTGCTCAGCAGAAACATGGGCAGCTCAAAGCAAAACTGGAGGCCGCTGGCACGAAGCTTGAGAGGGCGGCGCATATTCTCAAAAAGCAGCTCCAGGTCGAACTCAGGCTGCAGCAGAAGTCTTTGCTCGACCAGGAACGCCTCGCGGCCGAGGAGCCGAGGCAGGCGCGGACACAGATCGCGGGGGCTGGGTCGGCAGGGGCGACCGCTGAGGACACTCCAGAGAAGTTGCTCTCCCAGCGCTTCAACGCGCTCGACCCGAACCTCGCCGTGCAGTTCAACATTTTGCCGCGGCCAAGTCGCAGGTCGAGAGCCAGCGGGCAGCTCAGCGCGCCGCGCCCGCTCCTCCCTGCCGTGCTGCTCCTGCGCCTGCTGACGGTGGTCGCGAGCTGCCTGTGGGTGCTGATGATGAGGAGATGCCAAACGGCGACGGCGGCTTCGACGACTCGTGAGCAGACGCGGCCAAGATGCAGCAGGTTGTGCTCGCCACCCTGGGCAACGCTGAGATTGCCAAGGACATCGCCGAAGCAAGCGCGTCAATCAAGAGCACGTCGCGAACATCATCGACGACGTGGCGGCGAACGCGGCCAGCGCCCCCACGCCTGAGGCTAGGCGCGATGGCTCTCGCTCTCCTCGTCTGGCCGGGCGCGGGCGCAGACCGTCAACCTCGCAGTGATCAGGCCGCCGTGCTGGCCAGCAACACGCAGAAATCTCGAGATTGGTTCGTCGGCACCTCGAATGTCACCGAACACTCCAGCCTCGAGAGAGTCCTCAGTGGTTTTCCTGGTTTGGGTGCGCTCGTCGTTCAGGAGGCCCGCCAGGTTGCGAGCGCCGGTTATCAGGCAGCCCCCCTTCGTCGCGACGGGTGGCCGGCCAAGTTTCTGAAAGCGGCGCATGCTGGAAACGGAGGTACCTCAAGGGGATTGCTTACGTTGGTTCCAAAGCGTGACGGCATGGCCTTACTGGACTCCTGGGCCTTTGAGATGTTCCCTGGGCGTCGTTCGTTTCCCCGTGCGGGTGGGGTGGGGCGGGGTGGGGTGGGGCGGGGAAAGGAGGTTCCATGTGGGGGGCAATATCTATCCGAAGAACGGCGGCAATCTTGCTGACTCCACTAAGAACAAGTCAAGGCGTTTGGGGGCGGTCCTCAAGCGCGCACATTCCGTTCATCGTAGGCGAGCTGGCCTCTTCTGGGTGGGCCACCGCGCTCGACGCTACCATAGCGCTACCCAGCGCTGGCACGCGCGCGCCAGCTGTACGTGCGATTGATTTCTTCGTGGTCTCTTCCAACCTCCTGGGTGAGCACCCCATCAGGGTCCTCGAGGGTAACACCACTTCCCCTTACTCGCCCGTGCCACTGCGCATTGCCGCGGCGCCCAGCGACGTGCAGGTGCGCATGCTTAAGGCACCAAGGCGCTTCCCCGTCGCGAAGCCCATTTGCTGCGAGAGCGAGCCAGGTGCCAGTATCTGGGACCACGCCTCGCAAGCGATTGCAGATCCGGGCAAATTAATCTCTACAGCCGAGAGCGACTGGGATAGGACATCCCCGATACCATCGGACGGATCTGACAATTACTGCGGGCGCATCATGCCCATCGAGCCCCGCTTCCAGTCTGCGCGGCGCACTGGGCCTCCTAGGTCCCCGTGTCTGTCTGCTTTGGCTGTCTGGTGGAAGCAGGTGCACTCGGCGCTTGTGGTTCTGCAAGGCTCAGCGCCAGGTCTCCGACAAGTCCCGCCCGCGGAGCCCCGGGCTCAACAAGCCCTGCAAGCTCTCCAGGGCCCACGCGTTGCCTCGAGAGGACCTCTACGTCAGGTGGACTACTGCCCTGGGCGTCATCGAGCAGGTCTTCCACTGCCCTCATAGAAGTCCTCAAGAGTTGGACTGAAGAGCAGGCCCTACATCAGCACCAGCAGTCAGCCAGGCACAAGGGGCGACAGTGGAACGAGTGGGTCGACGCGCACTTGGCCAATGGCGTCTCTGCCCCGTATTTTTTTTATAAGCGCAGGCAGTTGGGTGGCAGCCAGCTGCTCTTAAACATTGCGCGCTGCGGCCCGCCGACAGCCAGGGGCAGGTCAACAGTTTGCAAGATGAGTGGGAAGGGCGGTGGAAGGTGCACGATGGAAGACAGGCTCTGGACTGCCGATGTCCTCGGAGATCGACCCCCTGCCCCTACGATGTCTGAGCTCAAATCTGTCCTTCGTCCTTTCCCCATCAAGACTGGCGCGGGTTTCGATCAGGTTAGCCCCAGGAATCCCCTCTTCTTGCCACATCACGAGACCCAGCTGCGGCATGACATCATTTCGCACGTCGAGAATAGGCTCGAGTGGCCACAGATGCGCAACCGCATCGTCTGCCTTACGAAGAGTCGGTGGAATTCGACCCCTCGGGCGGCTTCGCATCCTGCGTCGTGCGCGGCGTCCTCTTCGGCGACCGATGATCGCAGCCTGGCGGCGCAACCACTTCCGACATTTCTTCTGGGCCACCAAAGGGCGGTCGCCCGAGAAATGTGTCTGGGTATCGAGTGCGTGGAACGAGTTTCACCCTCTAGGGGCATTATTATGGAACGATCTTGCTGGATTTGAGAAAGGCGTCCGAGTTCGCGCAGCGCCATCACTTGCAGCAGGCTGCCATCGTTTCAGATTCTCCTCTGTGGCAGCTTAAGTCATTCATCGATGTTCATCGAGCTCCTCGCGCTCTGGGCCTCCGAAGGGTGCGCAGAAAAGTCGTTCGCGTGAAACAGACGGTTGTTCCTGGATGTACGTCTGCTACCCTCATGCTTCAGCGACTTCTCCTGGGGCCCATGGATGGAGCCCAAGCTGCGCGCCGCTCGGTGGCATTGTTCATCAACGCGGGCGATTTCGGCCTCTGGCGCTTCGGTGGCGAGGAGCGCGTTGCAGACGAGCTCTGCCATGCTGCCTCGACATTGAGTGGCGAGCTGGCCACAGTGGACGCGCGGCTAGCTGTGGACAAGAGCAGGGCCCCCAGCAACTCGAAAGCGCTTCGCACTCGCATCGCTCGTGGGCTTCGCAAGCTGGGCGACCTGACCGCGGCGACGGAGCGCAATCTCGGGGTCGAGTTCGCCGCCGGCAGAGTGCCGCCCAGGCGCGCCGCCAAGGCCAGGTGCATTGCCATCAAACAACGACGCGGCCGCATGTCTGCTGTGAAGTCAGGGCGACCTCGCAGGGCAGTGCTGGGGCAGATGGGCAGAGCGGCGCTCGAAAGCGCTACCTCCTGCGGCACCGCGGTCACCGGTGCCAACGAGAAGGAGCTTAAGACGCCGAGGAGTCTCGCAGGCACGTTGCAGGACCACAAGCAGACAGGTTAGAGCCTCGCGTTGTCTCTGATGGTAGCCCCAAACAAGAACCTGGACCCCATCGTTAGGAGCCACCTGGTTACCCGTCAAGTTCTTCCTCTTATGTCTCCACGAGAACTGATTGCCCAAGCATGTCCCCCAGAAGAGTCTTCAGCAAGTGGATGCCCGTGTCAGGCCCCTTACTTAACCATGGGGCTCGATTGCGGGGTCACCACACTTTGGGCGTCTTTGTGGAGGGTCGGTGTCAGGGCCAAGTCTCTGGAGGAATGGTTATTTCCTGAAGATCGTGTTGTGAACATTTCTGCGGCCTGCCCTTCTGTTGTGAAACAGCACGTGTTACGCGCAGCGTACTTGTGGCAGTGTAAGAAGATTGCGGAGCACGTTGGAGCACCTGAGTTCGCCAACGGTGCGTTCCTTGCCCCTGCCCTCTCTCTGTTGCGTTCGGGTGCGCTGCCGCAACAGAGGGGATGTGTCAGATCTTGTCTCATTGGCGCGCAGTGGCCAATGGCGAGGCAATGGCACGCGGGCTGCCCAGTCGAACCGTCTTGCATAGCGTGTTTGTCCGTTGGCACGCGCGCGCTCGGCACGCTCGCGCACAGGCATTTTATGTGCGCGCGGCACGCGCTCACGCTTGAATGTGCGCACGTTTCTTGTGCCCCGCTCGGTGACGCCGCGAAGCAGGGTGGGCTTCCACAGCTGCTCGCAGAGATTTGTCTCGTGCCGATGCCGTTATGTTTTGCGCCCCTCCTACCCCGACCTTCCTGAGTTCCTGTGGGTCCATGGGCATCCTGGCCTGCTCTCTGGGGACGTCTTCCTGGATGTCTCGTGGTTCGATGGTGATTTCGGACCCTGGGCCGCTGCTGGATGGTCGGTGGTCGCTCTTGCAGCAGGGCACCGCACGCTCTGCAGAAGACTGCCGTCTTGTGCGGCCCTCTCCTCTCTGCTTTTCCGACCACCAGTGAAGCTGAACTGCAGGCGTTGCTGTATTGCCTGAAGCATGCATGCCCGCCCAGTGTTGTGCACACGGGTTCTAAGTACGTGTTCGATGGTGTCACAGCCCGCGGCAGGCTTGAGTGTACACGTGTATTGGCCGCTGACTCTAGCCTGTGGCGCGAGGTCTGGAATAGGCTCGATGATTGGGGCTCGATGGTGTGTCGTCTCTGGCGATGTCGTTCGTCAAAAAAGCCTGCCCATTCGAACCGTGCTGATGTTGATGCTGGCCGAGTGACCAACAGAGTCAAATTCGGCAACGACAGCGCCGACGCCCACGCCAAGTGGGCGGCCCAGGCCTTCCGTCTCCCGCAACCCCGCCTCTCTGCGCTGCAGGCCCGTTGTCCGGGTGTTGAAGTCCTGGGTGCAGTGGGTGGCGCGTGTCGGTGACGTCCTCCCTGACTCCTCCCATCCCCCCGCCCTCCAGAGAGGCAAGTCGCCCAAGCGTCAACTAGTTCTGGTGCAGGACCCTGTGCCTACAGACTTGGTGTCGAGGGCGATTGTCGCCTCCACGGGATTTCGCGTCCAGGGCAAGGCTCCTCATGCCCTCGTCCACATTCGGCCCCACGAGGGAGTTGATCTCACTGGGTGCTCCAGTTGTGGCGTGGTTTCGTCTGCTCGTCTTGCCTTGCTCTCTTCTCCTTGTCTAGGAATGTTGCCTGGATGGGCCAAGAAGATCTGGAGCAGGCTTAGCAGAGGCAAGCACAGGCACATCTCGTCTGGTGTTTCCCGTATCCTCAGGGTTGTTGAGGTCCGCTCCGATATAAATTGATCCTGCTTTTGCAGGCAGTTGTGGAACCCGTGGCTCTCTACGTCTTGCCTAGGAGAAGGCGGAGGAGGGAGGAGGAGGTGGTGGGAGGAGGTGGTGGGAGGAGGAGGAGGAGGAGGAGGAGGAGGAGGAGGGGGAGGAGGAGGAGGAGGAAGGGGAGGACGGGGAGGACGGATTGCCCAAGCCCTTCGGAGACACCCTCCCACCCAGGCGCCCTGCGCCGCACTCTTGCTCGCGGCGTCGACCCCCGGCAGCCTCGGCCCGTGCCCCGAGGCCGGCTGCTCCTCCCGAGTGGTGTGCGGACGGCCCCGAGGCCCAGGGCCCCCTCCTCCTCCTCCTCCTCCTCCTCCTCCTCCTCCTCCTCCTCCTCCGACCGAGCATAGCGGGGAGAGACCTCCCGTCGTGGTGTCTTGATGGCCCGAAGGAGAGACCTCCCGTCGTGGTGCTCTGATGGCCCGAGGGGGGGGGATCCGGGAGCGCCGCCCCCCGGAGGGACCTCCCTGCAGAACGCGTCCGGCTCGGCCTCGCAGATGCGGGACCAGGTCCTGCGGCCGAACGAGGAGCACAGCGCGGAGCACGACGCCGGGGGGCTCCGCGCCTGCAGCCGCACGAAGACCTCGCGGAGCGCCCCCAGGACGTTCGAGGTCTTCCGGCGCCGCGCGGGAGCGGCTCTCGGCAGGAGTGCCCTTTGGTGCTGCGCGGCGTTCGGGGGCCACGCGGGAGGCCAAGCCCAGCGCAGCCCGAGCGCGAAGGGGCGCGGGACCCCCGTGGGCCCGCACCAAAAGGGTCACTCCGGCCAAGGGCCACTCTTGCGCGCAGCCCGGCCTTCTTGCTCCCCGAGCCGGCCGCCGACGAGGCGCCGATGGCGCTGCTGGCGCCGTAGACGGCGCCCCGGAAGTGGCCGATGTGGTACCACAGCTGCACCAGGCTGCTCAGGAAGTTGGGCACCTTCTCGTACGGCCCGCTCAGCTCGATCTTGCTGAGGCTCATGTACCGAGACTTCGTCTTCGGGCTCACCTTCATGGCGCCCCCTGCCAGATAGACCGAGGCGCGGAAGCACACGGTGCCGTCCTTCGGGTCCACGAAGCCATTATTCCGCAGCGTGGCCTCGTCGCAATGGACAAAATCGTGCCAGCCTCGGTCGATCGCCTTCCCATCGGACGACTCCACCGGGGAGAACGTGTGCTTGTCGTGCTTCACGATCGACTTCTTGAGGTCCTGGAAGTTGATCAGGGATACGAGGAACTGGACATCCTCGAAGTACCAGTGCGGTGGGTAGTCCTCGAAAGGGCGGGCCTCCACGAACGCAGAGATCCAGCGGGTCTCCTTCTTCCCCTTCGAGGCAACGGCAACCACTCCAGCCTTGTCGTCCTCTTGCTTGTCGTCGAGCGTGTCCACGTCTCTTTCGCTGTCCTTGCCCTTCTCGTCGTCCCTGTCCCTGTCCCTGTCCCTGTCCTTGTCCTTGTCCTTGTCCTTGTTTTTGTCTTTGTCTCCGTCTCTCGCGGGGCGATTCTTCCTCGCGTGCTCTGGGGCGCTCTTCGTCCCCTGGGGGAACACCAGCAGTCCGAAGACGAAGCCGCCGACGCTCTTGGTCTTCGAGCGGAACTTCTCTGGAGCGACCTTGATGGGCTTGTTTTCCACCACCACCACCACCACAATTTGGAGGGGGAGAGGGTCCTCCTCCTCCTCCTCCTCCTCCTCCTCCTCCTCCTCCTCCTCCAGCTTATTGTGGTGGTGGTGGAAAACAAGCCCATCAGACCTCCCTCGAGAGATCGGTGACGGCCACGCGCAGCTCGACCTCGTGCGGGTGCAGGTCGGGCAGTGAGCGGAACGGCGACACCGCCGTGCGCCGGTCCTTGGGGGGAGCGACCGACGGCACACGTCAATACTTTCGGAGCTCCGCTTGGGTCGGGCATGTCCCCTTACCGGCGGATTTCGGGCGAAAAAAAAAATGATAAAACAAAAATCGTCCCCATGCTATTTTTCGACTATTTTTGAATACTCCTCCTGTAGAGGGACAGGCCCAGCGTACAGCTCCGCGCGGATTTCCTCTGCCTGCGCTGGGACGCTCTCCCCGGTGCTGGGAGCGCGCCAGGTGCGGCGCTGGAGGCTCCGTCACGGGGGGCCAAGGCGCCGACCCAAGGCTTCCGCGCGGGGTTCCGGAGGTGCATGCGTGTACTGCTATGTTTCTTCGGCCTCCCCGCCTGTGCCCTGTCTCCCCAATTAAAGCTGTGCGTAGCCCGCCTAGCTTTTAGCGGAAGAGGTTCGCTCTCGCCCCGCCGACCAAAAAATGTTTTTCGGCCTCATGATTATTCTTTTGTTTCTGCTGCTGCGGTGTTCAGGCGATGTTGCGGATGCCCGTTATCTTGATGGATGTCCACTGTGTGTTAAAATTCCGAACACACAACATTCCCCAGGCAGTGCTTGGATCCAGGGATTCTCACATGTGCTCAGAAGAATTGGCCTTGGGTGCCAGTGTGGCGGCTATGTTGCCGCCGTCGCCGCCTCGTCGTCGCTCGTCGTCTGGGCCCGGGTGCCGGTCTGGCACCCATGTTGCCGCCGTGGCGGCCCCGTGGCCGCCTCGTCGCCGCCCGTCCTCTGGGTTTGGGTGGCGATCTGGCGGCCATGTTGTCGCCGTCGCCGCCCCGTCGCCGCTGCCCCTGCATAGATTGCACCACGCAAGACTGCGCCGCGTTGGCCCCCCCCCCAGGAGTATCCGTTCGCCTTCTGTTGCTGCTATGTATATGTGATTACGCCTCCTCGTTCATTTTGTGGCACCCGCAAGCGTACCATACCAACCAGGCCGGTATCGACTGCCCCCGTCATCTCTTGCAACACATATCATGCGCGCGCACTCGTTTACCAAAAAACCGGAAATCACAAACATGTCGTGCAACAGATAGGCAAAAATCCGCGCGCGTCGTCGCGCGCGCATGCTTGAATTATTTGTTCCATGAAAACTGTGGGCCCCGCGGGGGTGTCGAAATCGAGTGCCCCGAAAACAAACAGCAAATCAATGGTATTGCACATGCGCTGTCGCAGAAATTCGTGGGCGCACGCTCTTGCAGATTCGTGCGACAACCATCGGGCTTCAATTTCCCATCAGGTAGGATACAACGGGCCTCTCGCGCGCGCCTCCCATAAAACAGCTTCGCACGTTTTGGCGCGCGTGCGGGACGAGGGCGGGGGGGGCGGGGCCGCGACCCCTGTCAAATAAGGCTATGCGGGCCGATCGCGCCAGTGGGCCGCGCGAGCGGGTCGAACTCTTTCAGACACCGAATGAACGACGTGGGGACACCGTCATCGTCATCGGCGTGATCATCATCGGCGCCGTCAATGGCCCTGCCGTCGTCCTTGTCATCATCGTCCCCAACATGGCAACCACTATCGTCGTGTCTGCCCTTGTCCACGTCGCCACGCTACCGCGCCCGCCCGAGTCACCGACTCGCACTGAAGTGCCCGCGCACCACCGCGACCTGCGAGACGCGCTGGGAAGTGCCCAGCGGTCAACGCCACCGCGGCCGCATCGGTCGCGCAAGAAAAGCTGGCCGCTCTGCGCGCAAGCCTGCACGCGCTACCACGACCGCAGCGATGCGCCAGCCAAACCCAAGCAGTCACCGCAATCGCTGCCGTAATGGTTTTGCAAACCAAATTGCTGGTGGGTGGGTGGGGTGGTTGCGCGAATATGGTAGGTGGTCACGCGCGGCGCATGGTAGTGAAGTTCCTTTTTTTTTCCTCCTGAAAATGTATTATATTGTTCCCCCATCCCCGCGGAGTGATCGTGCCGTTTTTTTTCTCGAACGGGCTACGCACTCGTCCATTCGAAATTAAAGTCCACAACATCCCAATCAGTCTGGTTATCCTCATCCTCGTCAATGGATACTATGCGCGCGTACTCGTTTATCACAAATATCTGTATAGAAAAACCTTGTAACAAATGGGACGAACCGCACACGCGCGCGTCGTCGCGCGCGAATGCCAAAATCCGCCAACAAGAACTTCAAAGCCGTAGGGACTTCAAAACCGAATGCCACGAACACACAAAACACACATGGTTGTGCAACGTGGATTTTTTGTCTGAAAAATTGGCGCGCGAGAGCGTTTTCTGGCTTTTTAAACATACAAACATAACTTGTTTAACACGAGCATCAAAATTCACCAAGCGGGCCTGTAGCGCGCGCGTGTGTCGAAAACATTCGGACGCCCCTATGCCCGTGCCAATGGGCCACAGTCACTGTCAAATCGTGCCACGCGGGCCACCCGCGCGCGTCAGCCGTGCGCGCATGTCGACATCTTTTCAAAACCTCCATCGCCGACACGTGGACACGATCATCGTCATCGGCGTGGTCAACATCGGCACCGTCATTGGCCTTGCCGTCGTCATCGCCATCGTTTGTCACCAGCATCGCTACTATCATCGTTGCGTCTGCCCTGGTCGACGTTGCCACGCTACCGCGCCCGCCCGAGTATCCGACTCGCACTGAAGTGCCTACGCGCGTCAGCCCGCCTGCGACACGTGCTGGGAAGTCCCCAGCGGTCAGCGCCACCGCGGCCGCGTCGGTCGCGCAAGAATAGCTGGCCGCTTTGCGCACGAGACTGCGCGGTTGCGCGGCCGCAGCGATGCGCCGGCCAGCGCCGAGCAGTCATCACAATCGCCGCTGCATGGGTTTTGCAAACCAAGATGCGGGCGGGTTGGGTGGGATGTTTGCGTGGGCAGTGAAGTGGACAACCCACCAGTGAGCATTCATTCGTTGCACCACGTCGATTGGAACATAGATCGTTTGCTAGAACCCAGACGTGCGACGTTTGATTTTTTCGATTGGGGCCTCTGGAAGTCCCGACCCTTTCCCCTGGACCTTCTGTGCATCCTGAGCCGTTTTCCGACGCTCCCGAAACCCAGTTGAGGCCTGGGCCCGAAACCGAAAACGGCCAAAAACCTTCCATCGTGTTTTTTTGTCACAGCGCGAGGGGGTCTGGGAACATCTTCGTCTTCCAGGTCCTTCGAACTCGTCGCCCGCGCGTCGCAGTCTCTCAGGAGGCCGCGGCCGACGCGGGCCTCTGCCGGGTGGTCCCTCTCGTCGGCGGAGAGGCCCGTACTCCTCGCGCTCATGGTCCCACTGCTCGGCTCGCTCTGCTCGGACGAGGCCTCGTCCTTCTCGGCGTCCCATACCTTCGGGAGCATCCAACACACATTGGGAGGGACCTCTCATCGAGCAGGGGCCACGACATGTTCTTAGCACCCAAAACTGTTCGAACAACAAAAACAATGTTCTCAGAACATAGGCCCGATGAACTAAAACAAGACACACCCAGCCAGAACTATCTGAGAAAATGTCGTGTAGACCACAATCGGTTATTAGAACAGTCTCTGATAGGCCTATAGGCGAGCTGGGACATTTCGCCACTGCTTGACTCTCAAGCTTTCGTCAGGCCTGCGCAGTGTCCATCACCGCAAGAACGCAGCGGAGCACAGGAGTGCGCTGGCCAAAAGAGAGGGACGAGAAGAGGGCAAGCGGACAAGAAGCGAGAAGAGGGCAAGACGTCGTCGCAGCCACCAGCCCTACCCCCCCACGCGGGCAGCCGCGCGCGGGGCGCCTGCAGCGGAGCACAGGAGGGTGAGCAGGCAGCCACGGAGCTCGGGCATACAGTAGCAAAAGGTGCGGACGACGCTGCAAAGCCCAGAGACCCGGGCGCTGCTTCTAACCGGCAGACGTGTTCGCCCAAGGTGTCGGGCCCCGAGGAGGAGGGGGAGGAGGAGGAGGAGGAGGAGGAGGAGGAGGAGGAGGAGGAGGAGGAGGAGGAGGAGGAGCAGGGGGGGAAAGAGGAGGAGGAGGAGGAGGAGGAGGAGGAGGAGGAGCAGGAGGAGGGGATCGAGCCGGCGCGAAAGATGCAGCAGAAAGCTGGGGCCTGGGGCTCCAGCCGCGGTCTCTTGCGACGTTGTACTAGTTCGCAGCATCGGATCTCCAAGGAAGGGGGTGGTCGCAAGGCATGCCCCGAGGCAGCGGCCCAAGGTGGGGCGGACCAGGGCACGTGCTGAAAGAATCGGCGGTGGACAAGCCTCCCTTTAGTAAACCTCGCTTTAGCGAAAACGGCCTAAGACCGAAACCGACAGACCTGGACCCGCGAAAATGACGGAGGCGACGCCCTCTCGCGAACCGAAAACGGCCAACTGGCTAATCGACGTGTCACTATCAACCTCCGAAAGCAGGGGGGAAGCAATGAGATCCGGGGAGAGATCGCGGCCCCGGCCATGACACCCAGCCCTCCCCAGCCGCCGCCCCGAAATTGGGCCGCCCCCGAGGCCTGTGGTGCACTGCGCAGAGACACCTTGGCAGACGCGGCCGACACGGCAGCTTCCTTCAGGCGCGCCCCTCGATGTGCGAACATGGCCGGAGGGCCGCGGCGGCACAGGCGCCGTCGCGGCCCGCCCAGAGCCGGCTAGGGGGGAGCCCCCCTTGCTTGGACCGGCGCCTGAGCCCAAGAAAGCTGCGGGCGCCTCTGACTCGCTGGGCTGCGACGCAGTCGAGCCCTGCATCGGCGTGCGAGGTTCAGGAGCGTGCAGTACTCACGCCGACAACATCTGTGATGCCTCAGGGACTTGGCTGGCGTGCAGGGAACAGGTCGAGCTTCCCTTCGCATCTGAACTCTCCCACGTGTTGTGGATCAGAGTACGTGGTGCTACCCAACCGACCAAATCTTCATAGTAGCTGGAGGAATCCACTGACCAGACTGTCACCGGGAGAACAACTGCCGAATCCAGATGTTATTAGCGGATACGCTGTGGATGCGACAAACGTTGCATAAGCACTTGGCGATTCGCGAATCTGTTGCAAGGTATACCGCCATCGAAGAAGCGGCTGTCGCACCTGTCACACATGGCATGGCGCCTACCGAAGCAGTGGGCCGAACTGCGGAGCAGACAAGCGCGCTTGCCCAGAGCGCTGCAAATAAAAGAGATGCCCCCCCACCCTTCCCCCGCCCCTCCCCACCGCCCCTCCTGCCTTTAGGTCGGGCATGTCCTTCATACAGGCCGACTTTGGACGAAAAACAGAAGTAGACAGACATACTCCAAAAGTCAACAACAGTGGTCAAGCAATCGTCCCCAGACTGTTTTTTCTTGGCTGTTTTGGCATAGTCCCCCCGGTAGAAGGACAGGCCCGACTTCATCCCGCCTCCCGCCCCCCCGCCTCCGCCTCCCGCCCCGAGGCGCGGCCGCTGCAGGACGCGGGCGGGCGGCGGGCGGCAGAGCGCCACGTAGTAGTCCTGGTTCTTCACCAGGTGGCCCTGCCTGCGCCGAGCGACCGAGGCTGCCCCGCCCGCATGTGGCCCTCCCTGGAGGTCAAGAAATCCCCCCCCCCCTCTCGGAAGCACCACCCTGGCGCGCGAGAAGTCGCTTCGTAGATGCGCCCAGGGAAGCCGGCAAGGCTGTTTGGCAAACGCCCAGGGTCGAGCAAACGCCGAGTGTCCGGTCCGGGTGGTTCTCCTCCCTTGAATCCTCTGTGCGCTAGGCTCAAGTCGGGCATGTCCCCCTACAGGAGGATCTTGGACGAAAAAGGAAAAATACCCCAAACATGATCAAAAGATGCCCCAACATACTCCCAAATAAAGTAGTCCCCAGACCATACTGTATTTTTGAATCTTCCCCCCTGCAGAGGGACAGGCCCCACTTGACCCTGGGCGTGCCCCTGGACCGAATGTGCGCCGCACGTTCGCGGCGGTCGGCACCCCTGCAGTTGTGCTCAAAGGGCGGGCAGGCGCCGGGCATCGTCGCCATCTCCATGGACGTCACGATCCACCGTTACCACCACCACTTCCGACATCGACTGCACGCAAGGGTGACCCTAGGTAAGGGTGACCCTTGGTGCGCGGCTCTGGGCCGAGCGCGCCAGACGCCACTGTCGCATCGCGTTCGGCGATCGGAGGACCCCCTTGGACCCGCACCACAGGTCACTCCGGCGAAGGGTAACTCTTACGTCTGGTCGACTACAGCATCTCTTCGTCTCACCCGCTCCCGGCATCCCTCCTTCGCGCTTTGTCTGTCTGCTGTGTGCCTCCATCGCTCCTTCTCGCCAGATCGAATCCGCCATGCTCTGTCTCTCTAAATGGTTTGGAGAGCTTGCAAACACAAAGAGCCACGATGTCGCACTGTGGGTAACCCGAACAAGCATTTAAGAACCCCTCTGGGATTATTCTAGCAAAATTAATTCAATATTCCACGGGGGCATGCATCTTCGCGGAGCGATATCTTTAGCACCGCGCGCAAACAACAAAACATAATCCCAATCGGTGGTGGCCCTATGGTGCCAAGAAAGGAATTCGCAGGGAATGTCAAAGATCTTGCTCAGATCCCTGTGGCTTCCTAGGGAATGCCAGGAGTGTGGCTGAGGTCTCTAGGAATTCCCAGGGAATGCTCGGGATCTGCGTCGAACCCCTGAGGATTCCTAGGGAATGAAGGGGATCTGGCTCAGATCTGTTTAGTAAATGCTAGGAAATCTTCAAGATCTGGTACGGCTTGACATTTGTTTCAGTTCCTGGGAATGTCAGGGAATGTTAGGGATCTGGCTCAGATCTACAGGAATTCCTAGGATATGTCCCTGCAGATTCGCAAGGCCCCGAGTGCCCTCTGGAGGCCCTCCTGGTGCCGAAGTAACGCTTCCAGGGGGCCGGAAGCTTTATCGTTTCACCTGAAGGGGGGGGGGAGTTCTAAATGCTGTTCGGTGTTACTTCTGACCGGCCTGTTCGTGCCCCCCCCCTGCTTGCCAGCAAACCCTCCCCCTCCTCCTCCTCCTCTGGCGCGGAAGAGTCAAGGGGTAAGCCGAGAATAGCCCAGCCCCGGCTACAGTAGGCACATCTGGTACTGCAGTAGGCACATATGGTACGAAGTCTTACTGCAAGACATCTGGCGTCACATCTTCGTCAATGTTTGAGGGTCCTATGGTGCCCCAGGGCTTCTGCGGCTCCCTGGGGCCATCGGGGCATAGGAAACTTCCGTGGGGCACCTGCTGACAGGCCGATACCTTCTTTGATGTGCCCGCCGTATGACCGGCTTGGGGCACCTGCGATCAATTCTGGTCTCCACGCCTCTCCTGATGATCAAACGACTGCCTCCATGTGTCCAGTCTTGCTGCTGCCACAGCCAGCTGCACGTCAAAGCCCAGACCCAGCTAGGCCAGTTTTTTGATCCAGAGCGGTGTGGAGCCCCACCACGGCCAGTGGCAAAGCCAGGGAGAGAATGTACACAAATCCTGCGCACAAGGTGGACCAGGTTGATGCTGGTGCAGGTGTGTGCATCACATCCCCCAGAGAAAAAGCGGCAGGCCCTGCCTGGTACGCAAGCCGATGCCACCCACGTCAGACACACCTGGCATCGGCGCTGGGTGGCAGAGATGGCGCACGCAACTCAGCTCACGGCAACAGCAGTGCTTTCTAGAATGCGTTGAATGCAGGCACGCTGTGGGCAAGAGTTCACGTCATCAGGCGCCGCTGAATAGCTAGCTGAAAGAATCCCCCCAACAAAAACAACCTGCTGAGATGACGCGTCCCACGCGCGGGCTGCATACCCTCAAGAACCCATCCTCTATAACCTGTCCGCGATGCCGCCCGTGACTGGCCGCGCCCCCCGCCTCCCCACCCCCCCCTGGCTGGCCATCGCTCGGACGTCCATTTCCTGTGTTTTTGTTGGGTTTCGTGCGTGGATGTTTCGCCAAACGACCCAGGATGCTCCTCGATGGTCCTCGCCGAAGAAAAAACGCACACGTCCGAGCGATGCCAAGCTGGTCACGCCCGTGATCGCCAGGGGATGCACATTGTTTCCAAGAGCTCTTGCGCTCTCTGCCCCGCAGTGCAGCTGGGCCCCTTCGAGGCACCCCGGCGGCCCGAGGAACGGTCGCGCCGAGGCTCCGCGCGGAGTCCGCCAGCCCCCTGGAGGCCACCGGGCTGCGCGGCGGAGGCCTCGGCAGGCTGAGCAGCTCAGCTCTTGCGGGGCGCACCCGCAGAGCTTGGGGCACCTCGCAGACTCTTCCAGCACCTGCGCAGCTCGACTGGTGTCCAGCCTTGGCCGCGGCTGAAGCTCGTTCACCGGGCCCCACGGGCTCCGCAATGCTCATGGTCTCCGCTGCTGAATCGCGCGCGCGGCTCCCCTGGGCTGCCACCGTCCACGTGCTACACTCCTGGACGCCTGGGCGCCCCAGGACACGACATATTACCGCACAGCTGCTGGCCTGCGCACTCGAGGCCACGGTCTCCAGTAACAAGAAGCGTGCCGCATTTCCAAGGCCACGACTCCTGCTCATGAGGGATGAACCAGCGATCCCGAGGCTACCATACCATCCCTTGCAGCAGAGCAGTGGGTCGTGGCTTCTACAGCTCGAAGATATCATGAAACAGTGAGCACGCGATTCGCTGAAAGAACAGATCCGCGCCCCCATGGCCACGGTCCCTTTCTTGCAACAGCGACGATTGATCCGCGCCTTTGAAAACCCCATCTCGCTGCACAAAGCAATGGGGGGCAAAGTCTACACGTCTGTTCTTCGCCCTCATGAGCCTTGACTCGCGGTTCCTCCCCTTCCTCCTCCCCCTGTCCGCCTGCGCTGTCAACGCTTTGGGGTAAGACTTTGAAGGCCTGGTTTTCCTCCGCGGGCCTCGTCTCGACCGCCCTCCCCCCTTCTGACTTCTCCTCCTGCCTTTCCTGCTCCTCTTCATCATCCCCCCACCTCTCGGCCGTCTGTCCACTTTCATCACAACACTGGCATCAGACAAGACCGACATGACCGCACTGGCACGACAGACGCTGCGCCGGACTGCACCGGAATAGCCCGCAAGCGGCCAGGCGGAGCCTGAGCACACCAGGCAAAGCCGCGTTCTTTGAGTCGCACCATGAAGGGGGCGAGACACTGGCGGCTGGCTGGGCCAGCGGGAACGTAGCGCGCATAGAATTAAGAAGCGTCGAGTTGGGCCATGCTAGTGCTGGGGGGAACCGCGAAACTGTTGATTCCCATGCTATAGCCAAAATGTGAATCCACATTTTCCAGCAGCCATGTGGATTCCACAATCCACAACGTGGACCCATACTTGTCCCATAAGGAGCGTTGGAGCCAGAAACGACGCCGCATTGCCAAAACGGAAAGCGTGGATCAACTTTGTTCGGAGGAGGGCCCATTTGAGACAACGGCGTCCCCTCGGCGTTCTTCGTCCTCGTTGGGCATCCCTGAGGCTTCTCGTCGCCACGGCTGGTGGCGACACTTCGAGAAGCGAACCAGGATGAGGATGAGGAGGAGGAGGAGGAGGAATAGGAGGAGGAGGAGGAGGAGGAGGAGGAGGAGGAGGAAGCGAACCAGGAGAAGGGAGCTGCGGATTTGGGCAGGGCGCGGGAGCCGCCGCTGTCTCAGCTGGCCTTCCTCCGATCTCCGCCAGGGCAGCAGTGCGGCTTGCGGCTTGCCGCGCAGAGTCCGGCTTGCGACTGCGCACTACCGCTTGGGCCCCCCGCCCCTTCTGCTGCTGGTCCTCCCGCGGGCCCGGCGAGCTCTCTTGCACCGTTGTCCGAACGTCCCCGCCCATCCCCTCCCATGCCGCCCGATCTGCCCCCCCGCCCCCCCCTCGGCCCGAACGCTCTGGCCTCGGCACTCATCCTGCGCTGCCCCTGTGCGCCTCCTGTCCGATCCCGCTCCCGCGTTTCGCCTGTGTGGCCTGTCATGGGATGGTGACCGTACCTTGAAACTCAAAGTCTGGCTTACCAGAGCAGCACTGGCCCTTCGCCCCTGCACCCCCCCTCCCCTGCTGGCGGCACTCTCGCAAACCCCATTGCGCGCTCGACTTCGGGTGCGCTTTCTGGTGTGGCCCCCCCCCCCCCCCCCTGCAGTCGCGCGAGCATTCCCCTCCCCTCCCCGCGCCCAGTTCGCCGTGTGCGCCGTGGCAGCACCAGCGCTGGACACGACACCTCGCAACGTACAGGGACGAGCTGTTGAGCCAGCGGCCACAGGAGGATCAGGCGGCGGTCGAGCAGCGGTGGGGCGCGCCAGAGCACCGCGACTGATGGGCCTGTTTTCCATCACCACCACCACCACCATAAGTCGGAGGGGGGAAAGAAGGGGATGAAGAGGAGGAGGAGGAGGAGGAGGAGGAGGAGATCAGGATGAGGAGGAGGAGGAGGAGATCAGGAGGAGGAGAAGGACCCCCTCCCCCTCCAACTCATGGTGGTGGTGGTGGAAGACAAGCCCATCAGCGACGCACGGGGAGGGGGGGCCGCGCGCGAGGCGAGAGAACGGAGGCACACGCAGGCCGTGAGAGTCTCCGTGCGCGCGCCGAGGTGCAAGTCGCAGGTCAGGCGTGTCCCCCTACAGGGAGATGTGGATCAAAAATAACTACCCTCGGCCAGGAGAGTAAGGCTATGCGCGGCAAGGATGAAGGGCCTTGGAACGCCATGCTGACGTTTCCCGTGCGGAGCGCAGCAGAATGCCGAAGGATGCCGAAGACCGAAGGGGCAAGGATGCAAGGGCAGCCTTGGAAAGGTGCCCCATCCTTACTATCATGGTAGACTGTGAAAAAACAGTCAAAACAAACTCACAAATAGTCAAACAAATATTCAAATCATCGTCCCCATACTATGCTTGACCAAGTTTGAAGATTCCTCCTGGAGAGGGACAGGCCCGACTGAATGCAAGTCTGTGAAGTGCAGGGCGAGCATGACGGCGGAGCCGCACACGGAACTCGCATAGGGATGAACGGGCATTACCAGAACCGCGGGCGCGCGACGCCTGCACTGCACCACGGGGGGCGCTGCCCGCAACGTCACGCTTCACGTCGAAACCGACGGGCATCCGATGCGGCACCCGAGGGCGCACAAAGCGGGAGCACAGCAGCACAGCCCCTCATCGAATGGCTTCGGCACCGGGCTGTGACTGGTGGGACTTCGACTGGGCTTAGCCTCCTGCGACAAGCGGCCACCGCGGGAAGCGTTGCCACCGGGACTGGCGCGGGGGAAGCCATGCGGATCCACAGGAACCCAAGCCATACGGATCAGAATGGCCACCGGAAACAGGACGGAAAAGGAAGCCTGTTCCTCACAATAAGCGCGAGAACACCTTCAGTTCGAGCGCGGTTTGTGGAACAATGGGCCCACCCCCACTTCAGAGGAGGAAAAGGTACGAATACCGCTACGCCAGCAAAAGCGCAATTCGGAGGAGGAAAAGACGACGTCTGGCGCCTCCTGGCTTTCGTCGATGTGCGATTCCCGAATCTCAAGTCTAAGGCTGGTACGTGTTTAGCTTGTCGACCAGTGGTTGACTGTCTCTCGAGCATTGCGCTTGAAAGAGCATTGCTTGGTCACGATACCTGGCAAAATCGCAACTCAGAGGGAGAAAGGGCACCAATACCGCTACACTTCCCCCGTCGCCACGGCTGGATTCGCCTCGACATCCGGATCAGAAAGCACCCTGAGAGAGGTCCAACGAGCAGCGGCATCGGTATCTGGCTCATTATCCAGCAATGGGCCCGCGCCCCCAATTCACGACCCAAATTACAAACAAAGATGGCCCGTGCTCCCAAAGCAACGACCCTCGTAAAGAGCAATGGGTCCCCGCTGCCGAGGTCGCGAAACCCGGCAAGCGAAAACAACATTGACCCGCACTCCGACGGCCACGGCGCCTCGTAGACACGCCCCTTGTAAACAGATAACTATGCAGCCGCGCACCCGATGCCACGATTCTTCATAACGGGCCAAGCATGGATCCGCGCACCGCGTAGCCCCGTGACTCTTTGCAAACCAAAGACAGCCCTGCGCTCGCAACCACAAGATTCCGTGTCAACCTGCCAACCCCAGTCAGTCAACAGATCAACCCGACCAACCAAGCCAACCACACGAGCAATCTTAGACGGGCCCGCCAGCAGGGGGGCGACGGCCCTCCATACATAGACTCCACCTCCCCCAAGGCATGCCCAAGGGGCCCTCAAGACGCCGGCAACAAACACTCAGGAGGCCCATAAAAAGGGCCCACAAACCAAACCCCGAGCAGCCCCCAGGGCGCCTTCACGAAGCCCCAGACCATGGTGTCCCCAGGAAGTCTTCCACAGGGAGGGGTCAGCCTCCTCCTCCTCATCCTTGTCGCACCTTTCCGCTCAGGGTATGACTGAGTGCGCGCGCAGACCCACCGAGTAGGAGGCGAAGGGGAGAAGAGACAAGAAGAGAAGGACTCGGGTGTGCATCCGTTGAGGCTCTTAAGCCCATCGCGCCAGTGACTATTCTCCAACGTCGCCCTCTGCGCAGATACTGACAACGTTTTCGCTGCCTGAGGCCCTGAAGATCATTGCTCGCGCCTGGCGTCTCAGAGCGCCTTTTGGCAATTTCTTCCTTTTCGTCTTTCACGCGCATGTGCGTCGCACTTTGCGCGCGGCACCCCATATCTGTCCCAGTGAAGCCTCAAAATAAAACTGGCACGAACATGCGGACGAACAACTAGAGCGGAGAGGGCCAGCATCGATAGAATGCGCGGTCCCTGTCATGCTTGCCAGCAAAGGTTATCTCAGAACAATGCCCGACAGGGGCCCCGGCCCATTGTAAGTCCAGACGTGGCGACATGGACCGCGGTGGACATCCACACGGTTGCGTGGGCGCGTCACGTTCTGGCCGTGCAGCGCGCCCGTGAAGACCACCCAAACTGCCGCAAGACGGACACGCACACGCGTGGTCTACGCATGCGAGCGCAACCGAGCTCTGCAGAAGCCAGCCAGTGTCGGACCCCTTGATACATGCATGCGCACCCTGCGGAACGATTAGTATACTACGTATCCAATCGAAGTCAAGGTTGCTGATTCGCCTTAGTTGGCAAAAACGCTGTACGAGGAAGCGCATATGATGCTAAACGCAAGTTAAAGACGCCTTTGATATAGGGCCGTGAGCTAAGACTGGTGCAGTTTCGAATGATCTGAAACACTAAGACACACTGCAACGGTTGCCGCCGTCGAAGTGGGGCCCGATCACTATGTGTTGAGGAACACATCGCTCCGCACAAAGCAAAACAACGCTGCTGCAAGATGCCCGAGATTTTCGAACGAGATCTGGAAGCGTGCTGCTCCCTGTGGGGACTGGCCCGCTCGACTCGGTAAGCGCTTGGGAACCCAGGCCCCCTGGGTCACATCCCGGTGCCCTGGACGAGCATCTCCTTCCCCTCCCCGTCCCAGGGCAAGTGGCTTGGCCAGCTCCACTGAATCTGCCGAAAGCCTGGCTCCGCGAGGTCGGCCTGGGACGCTTGAAAGGAGTGCGCTCTCATGGGGCCGTCCGCGAAGAAAATCATTGCGTCGTCCTCGCCATCGCTGGAGAGAAGCCAGCGCCTTTGCGCCAGCAAGGGGCCGTAATTCGGGGATGGACAGACCCCCCTTTAGTAAAACGTGGTTTAGCGAAAACGACCTGAGGCCCAAACCTGTTGGGCGCAAGCCTGGAAAATAACGGCCACGGCCCCCTCTCGAGAACCGAAAATGGACAATTCACTAATCGACGTGTCACTGCTGGGGGTTCTGTCCACCCCCGAGTAATGAGCGCTGCATGGCTGGAGTCTTCTGGATACACATCCAAAAAAAAACCCTTCCCAACCCTCTTGCCCCTCCCCCGTCGCCCTTCGCTTCCCCTTCCCGTGCCGCCCCCCGCCATGCCCCTCCTCTGGCACGAGCACGCAAACAGACGCACACACGCACGCGCGCACACACACGCGCACACACACACACCTCCCAAGCCTCCCCCTTTGCCTGCAGAGGGATCGGGGGGAGAGTAATGGACCAGCACCAGGCAAGAGAAGCAAATCTCGACCGCCTTGTTCTATCTTCCAGCCGATCGTGCCATTGCGCTGGCGCACCTCAGAACGCGAGGTGCGCAGGTGGGCCGGGAAGAGGAGGTGCAGAAGACGGCCAAGGAACGCGGCTGCATCGCGCACAGGGCGATACCCGACACCAGGAGCGAAACCATTCTGCGCTGCAGCGTGCCTGCAGACCGTTGCTGGAAGTCTGCAGCGACGGGCCCGCACAGGAGAGCTGGCCGAACAGCGCCCGGACACCGCCAGTGCTGGCACGCGGCGGTGCGCTGCACACTGCCCGAGGGACGGGCGCGCCGAGGCCCTGCCAGCGACGCCGCGGGCGAGGCCCCCGATCTCTGGGGCTCCTCCCCCCCCTGTCCACCACGTGGACCGGCCTACCACACAGCCGTGGCGTTGGTTTTGGGCGATTCCTGCGAACCTGAGTCTGGGCCAAGCGAGGCTCGCAGTAATCTGCCAGGCAGAAGCGTGTACGTGCCTTGGGCAATCCAGAAACTCCTGTATGCGAGTCGCTCGTCTTCGCCGAGTGAGATCTGTCCGCTGGCAGGTCATGATCTGGTTTTGCTTACGGACAGATGCGAATAATCTCCGCAAGCTTGGATGGGAATGTGAAGCCCTTGGCAATTCCCTTCGGACATGGGGCGAAACAAATGCGAACTCTCTCGTCCACCCCGTCCGTCTCTATGCTGGGCTCCCTCACCCTCATCCGTAAATGCGGGCCTTACGAAGAAGCACTGCGTACGTGAGTTTTCAAGCTGGTAGATCGAGGCAGACATGAAAGAGAGGGAGGGGGGAAGTGCTGTCGTGCCATGCCCCCACGAGAGTCCACATTCCCCTCCGAGTAGCAACCTGCCACCTCTGCACCGACAATGTTTCTCCTTTACACGTATGTCGTACACGGTTATGTGGGGCGTCGCACCTAGTATCATGATCTCTCTCTCTCTCTCGTGCTTGTTGTGTGCGCGCGTGTGCGTGTGTGTTTGTCGTGTCTGTGTATGTGTATGTGTGCATGTGTGTATGTGCATGTGTGTATGTTTTTCGGTGGCAGTCTGCGCGTACGTGTGTGTGTGTGTGTGTGTGTGTGTGTGTGTGTGTGTGTGTGTGTGTGTGTGTGTGTGCGTCTCTGCTTCTCTGTCCGCATGCCTCATTACAAGTGCCTGTACACAGATTCGCATGTGTGGCAAGACATGCAAACACATCGGTGATGCACAACACGTGGGAACGGCCACCACTGCACCTCGGCGAGGCTTTGAGAGCCATATCCGTACGACATCAGGAGACTTGCGTAAAGAGCACCGTCTGGATCCAACGCAATTCTATGACCACCCATGCGAGCTTGACACTCCGAATGCCAGCGCACGTCAAATCGACGACATACGCCTTTTTCGGAACTTCCACTAGGACACGTAAAGCCAATTCCCAAGCAATGTAAGTTGCCCGCCTGCGCGAACCGGCCCAATCCCCCTCCTCCTCCTCCTCCTCCTCCTCCTCCTCCTCCTCCTCCTCCTCATTTTCGTCATCGTCGTTTTCGTCGCCCTCCTCATCCATATGCTATGTGCCCAAGACAGTGGGCCATATGACATTCTTCGTCCTCCTCCTCTTCCTCCTCTTCCTCCTTCTCCTACTCATCCTTCTTCTGCTGCTGCTGCTCCTCCTCCTCCTCCTCCCCGTGCCAATGGTGCGCAGGGCTCCTGTTGGGTAGTCGGATGAGGACGCACGGGGCGCCTGTAAGGAGATCATCGATCTCCGAAGAGCACCTCACCCGAGCCCTCTGGAATTACGCCACCGGGGCGACACAGGCAATATGGTTTCGAATTGGGGTCCTCCCAACCCCGCTTGAAAATCGCCATGTCGAGCGAGCAACTGCTTACTCGACATACCAAAAGGCTGGACATCGTTTCCCGGCTCCTCCATACCTGCCTTATGAATCAGGTTATTCGTTGGCATTCGCACGAAGTGTATTACAGGGCAGCGCCCTGATGCGGCTGTATGGGGCTACGCCAGGCATTGTGTTCATGCGTTGTCCCCTCGTGCCGGGGCTTCGCTCCCTCATGCTCTTACCCCTCATGTTGGGGCTCGCCCTTCATGCGTCGCCACACCATGCTACCTATAACCCGGGTAGGCAACTCTTATCTCCGCACGCGTTGCCCTTGGGGTGCAACCCAAGCAGACCTGGCAGTTTGGCCAGTGATCCACCCTATCATTTCCACAGTGCCCGCTCCCCCGTTGCTCCTTCCTCCTTCCTCGATTTTTTTTTCTACTCTCCCACCTCATTTTCTCGCCTTCGCCCCACTATACCGCGCAAGGCGCCGGACATCTTACTACGAAGCTGGGAGATTGCAAGATTCGTCGTAAAATGTCCGGCGCCTCCTTCGGACTTCCCGTCCTGAACCATCGTGTCCTCCCTTTCTTCCTCCTCCTCCTCCTCTTCCACCTTAGCGCTGGAGCTTGTCGTTTCCCTAGGGCCCCCTTTCTGGTTCTGGCGGGTGTAGGTGGTTCTACCCATATCGTAGAGCCTCTTCAAAGGTTCTGGTGGACTTTAGGTGTTAGGAGTACGCATGCCTGCAGGGTGTGGCATCCTTTTATCTTAGAGCGGCTCCTGTGCCAATCTAACCCCACACGCGGAGGGGCCCAGTCATATCATGACAGGCGTCTTTGCATCAGGCTGGCGCCTTTGCGCTGGAACTCTTCAAGGACTGTGGGTTACGGCAATGCTTCGCATGCCCATCTAGCCTGCGGTCCGTTGTTTTGGCTGGTCCGACTCATCAAACAAGGCTGGAATTCTGGTAGCAAGCCACACTAGGCAGGTAAGGCTGGCGCGCTTCCGCACTGGACCTGTGCCAGAACTGTGGGCTACGGCTCTGCTACGCATACCCATCTAGCCTGCGGTCCGCTGTTTCGGCTGGCCCGGCTCAACCAATAAGGCTGGGGTTCTGGTAGCAAGCAACATTAGGTATGCATTGACTAGGGCCGTCCGCACTGGAGCTCTGCCAGGACTGTGGGCTACGGCTATGCTTCGCATGCCCACCTAGCCTGCGGTCCGTTGTTTCGGCTGGCCCGACCCACTAAACAAGGCTGGAGCTCTGGTAGCACGCCGCACTAGGTAGGCAAGATCTTGGGAATGTCGCTAGGGCTTCGGACCAAGGTCCCTGGATTTGCGTGACTCTAAACAGTTTTTAGGCTCACGCAAATATCCCGTCGCCAGAGCGAAGGCGAATGGGTTCTAGGTCAAGGTTCCCCTGGTCAGGGCGTTGGTTCCTCAGGGCCAACCTAAATCCTTGCCGTCTTCAGGGCTTAGGGGGCGGGGTTATCCTTTTCAGCTCGGCACCCCTGTCCCGGCCTGCCCGGCTCAGGGGTGGTAGCCGGACCCCCTGCGGGGCCGGTTCCCCCCCAACCACGGGGTGGGGTCCCTCGCCATGCCCGGCCCAGCCTGCCAACGCTAGGGGGGTCCAGGCTGGGTCCAGATTGGCAAGGCGGCTATTGCCCCGCCGCAGCTTAGGTGGCTCAAGGATGAGGTTAAGCCCATTGGGGCGCAGCCGGCCTTCCTCGATCCCGCCGCCGGCACGGGCGGCGGCGCCGCCCCGATGCAACCGCCCCCGGGGCATTGCCCATCAAGCCCCCTGGCGCTCGCGGAGGCGGAGGTCCAATTCTGGAAAGCCAGGGTGCCCGACACCCACCCCGAGCTCCTCGAGGCCAAGCAAGAGCTGGGAGACCTGCGGCAGTCGAGCCCCCAGCCCCTTCCACCCGCGGAACAGGCGGTGCGCTCGCGCAGGCAAATCACTTCGACAAAGGACGTAGTCTTCAAAAGAAGGCGGCGCTCGAAGAGACAGACGCAGATCGACAAGCCGATCACTTCCTACTACCAGCAGGCGGGTGACATCAACGCTCGGGTCGGCGGCTGAATGAGAAAATCGCTCAGCTCAACATCACCGCCCCGACCTCGCAGTATATTCTCACGCGCTGCAAAGCTCACTCGGAAAAAGTCATGCCCCTGTCCGAGGAAGCGTTCCTCGAACGGGTGACGGCCGACCTGCGGGCACAGGCCCCCGCCTCGCACGCCCCGCCAGTGGAGACTCTTCCAGTGGGGGCCGACTCGCGCAGCAAGGGGGCGGTGGAGACCGTGAGCGAGGCGCCCAAAGCCTTGCAGGGGCACCTGGAGGAAGCTGGCCTCCAGAAAAGGCAGCAGGCCCCTGCCCGGGCGGCGGTGGCTGCGCACCCAGAGGACCCGCAGGGCGCGCCCCCGGTGGCGGGCGAGGCGGGCGAGGCAGACCCCCCCGCGGGTGGCGCGGGGGCCCTGGCCGAGGCCGCGGGCGTCTCCCAGCCATCGGCGGGCGCGGGTGCAGGCGCGACCCCGTCGCCGGGGTAACCCGCGGGGGGCCCCCGCAGCCAGTCCATGCCGACCTGACATTGTGACCGCACTTCTGCCGCCTTCGGGCGCTCGGCCGGTCTCCATGGCTACTTTTAAAAGCAATTCGTGGACCTCTATACGGGGCCACCTGGACTCGGGGGCCCTCTCGGTCCACAAAGTTTTGTTTCTCCGGAAAACCATCATGGATGACCCCCATTTAATTCAGCTCGCCGTGGAGCACCCTTTGCGGGCTGGAAGGCTGCTTTTAACCCAGCCGCGCGCTCTCCAGACAACCGCGCGATCGGGGGTGTCGCCATCCTCGTCCGCGCGGCGCGGGACCTCGGCCTCTCCCCACTTCCTGAGGGCCCCCCTCCCTGCGTTGATCCTTCCCGTCTTGTCGCCGTCCGTTATGAGCCTCCTGGCATTGCTCCTCCCCTCCTTGTATCCCTATACATTCACCCAGTGGTGAAGCTGAATGAAGCTAATCGTGCCTTGCTCGCTCACTTGGGCATCTTACAACACAGCTCAGGCCCGAGCATTCTTGTCGGAGGGGATTTCATGATGAACCCGCCCTATGCACTGGAAACTGACTTCGGCGAGAGAGGCAGATTTAGAATCGTCGCCCCCACCCACCCCGCACTGCGCATTAAAAAACACCGCGACCAAGATTGGCTACTTTTTTGGTCTCAACGGGCTT